AGGTGTCCATGCCCCCACAATCAGAATGTCGATTATACTTAGCCTGCTAATTCTTCTTCTAATAGTCTAGAGTATCCCATGCTCTGAGCAATGTGTCGAACACATCCCTCCAAGCCACAAAGAATGCTGACACATCTTCTATATCTCCCCAAATATGTCGCGAAGATGGTCCCCCACCCTATGCTCAACGCTTTTTTAATGTGTGCATCGTGCTCAAGGCGTCAGGAGAGAACTGCTACAAAATAAGTTAAATATGTTAGATCAATAAACTTATGTATAAACCATATTTAATGCCTATGGTATACCCCACACTCTCTGATCCACATATCCTAAGTTACTATCAGGATTTCTTTTCGTGAAAAGTAGGCATCGTTATACTTGCTCCATATGATATCTCGAATAGCATGCAACATGCATAGAGGGATATAATTTGAAAATAATAATATTTAGTTTTATATTAAATCAAAATAGCACTAGTATCCCTTTTCAAAAAAATTACGTATGCTCAACAAGCTCTAACTCAAAAGTGTGGTTCGTGTTGCTCGATGCATTTCGATCAGTAGCAGGATCCTATGCCAAAGTAGAAGGGTTTGCACTGGTAGTAGATGGTGGTGTTGGTATGGTGGGAGGAGAGGGTATCTAGGATGGGATGTGACGTGTGGGTGACAACAACAGGGTGAATCCTTATGGAGAGGGATCAAGAGCAACTGTGGATGAGATTGAGACCAATACAGAAGTGTTTGCCCCATATGACTGCTGCCTTATCATCTAACAAGGGCCTCCCTCCGAGCATGAGCTAGATGGTGTACCTATCATTGAAGGAGATCATTGTGGCCTCCAGAAGCAACCTGCAATAAGTAAGGAAAAAATATTAGTCTGCATAACATAAAAAAAAAATACGATCAAAATGTAAAGTACATTATGCAAATTATTGGCACTGAAAATAGAAATCTGAACAACAAACAAAAGAATAAACTGTAAAGTACAATTTACAAACTTCTACAACTAAAAGTATAAGTAATGACAAGTGTAAATTGTAATTTAAAAACTACTAGCACTGAAAACATAAATCTAAACAATAGATAGAAGGTAAAATTGTTAGGTATAATCTACAAATTACCACAATGAAAAATATAAGTAATACCATAAAAAAAAGTATAAAAAAAATGTAAAGTACAATCTATAAATAAGGATAGCCAACTTAGACATGAAACTAAGGATCATACATACCCTAGAATAGTCCAATATAGAAGCCTAGGTTAGATTACAAGGCATCCCTATTTAGTGCTAAGAATTAGGGCATATAAAACAAACAGTCTTTAACCCCTAAGATTATGTAGGTGCCCTAAGATGAAGTAGCTCATGGTTACTGATGAAGGAACCTCTAACAACCTATAACTAAAAAGCTCTACACATGCTATTGTTATGGCGTTAAGCGAAAAATCTTTGACTTTATGGTTGGTTAATAGTTTAAGGCAACCAATGAACCCAAGATAATGGAAAGTCATGACATCTTGACAGAGGATTTTATTCTCATTTAGGTTAGCCCCCCACCCATTTGGTCTCTTTAGAGGGTCAAGATTTACTTTAGTGTTATGACTTCATCTTAATCTAGGATCTTTCTTACTTAATTCTACCCCTGTTAGTTTAGGAATCATTCAAACTCAAACCTTCAAAGTGAATCTTTCAAACATATCTTCCTGATTCAAACCTCATAACTTAAAATTTTCCGATCAATTTTTCAAAATAAACTTATCCAATTCATTTCAATCACCTTTGATTTTATCCCACTCTTAAGTCAATCTTTTCTAATAATCACCAACTACACCTTCAGGGTAAACCTTCCTCTTTGGGTTGGTTAATTTATTTCTTAAACCTTTCTAATGCATAGTTATTGGATTGTAAATCCCAACCTTTGAACTCAATTCTTTTAATATCCTGAACTAGGATCAAATCATCATCCTTGAAAGTTTAAATTTGAAATGTTCAATCTTGAAATCTAGAATAATATAAGCCACTATTTTAACGAGAGTTTTTATTGGTGTTCACAGCTTAGGAGATGTAATTAACTATGAGGGCTTCCCATTATAAGGATATCAAACCTAAGAATGAAATAAATTCTATCTTACACTCTTAAGATAGAGAAAAAAATATGTAGTTCATATAGACCCATAAATCTTAAAATTTTCACCATCTGAATGATAGGATCCATTTCAAAAAAATATTTCATCTCCTCATGATAGTATATTATTCATTAAATGACATATCTGATCATTTAGATAGAAATCTTTCTTGATCCGTGGTAGACACGCTCGATAAAAGATACCAACAAGTTTTTTCTGGTGATTCCACTAATGATTGGTTCATCTCTTCATTTTTAGTATTCACTTATCTTATTATCCATAGGTAGTGTATCTGTACTTTTTACAGAATTAGACTATCATTCTTTTCGTTGGACATTCCATTCATCACACTATGGAATTAATCCACCAATCATCCTTGAATTATGAGTCCCACCCTATGTTCTTAACCTTTCGGTCTTCTATTTTTCTCATTTAAACCTCATTAATAAGTTTTAGGATTTCCTTATCTCAAGATCCTTCACTTGATTGAGTTCATTTTCAAACTAAATTCATTCTTTATTTCATTAAGATTAAAAAAATTGATAGTTTAATTCCCTTTAATATCTTCTCTGCATCCTTTTATAGAAAACATGTTATCCTCCAAGTTAATTTCTCCTTTAAAAATGAAAAAAAACTTAGCCCTTGATCCAATTCATCTATATGAGGGTTCCTTCATTAAAGAAACGAACATTCTAGTGTACCTGGAGCTTCGACAACATTAGCAACTGCTAGCTCTAAGTCTCTAACTTCTAGCATCTCTTACTAAAAGAGGCTTACAAAATCCCTCAATGTCACATGAGGTTTTTGACAAATGTGTAATAGAGCTTGCGAACTCTTATAAGATTTTTGTGCACTAGCAAATGAATAATGATGATTTAATTAAACTTCTAAAAAAAGCAATGGCTATCGATGGCAAATTATTGATCCAATGAAGAGTTGATTCTTTCAATGTCATAACAGTTGTTAGGACTTCAACATATCATTGATTCTCAATAAGCGAACGACAATTCGAAGGATGCAATATAATCCAAAAAGTCAAATCTTCCTTAGAAGACTCTAAAGACAAAATTTTGAACTTCATAGGGGCTTTAGCTTCTGTTTCTTTGAAAATGCATTCTCCAGTGGTTGAATCCTCTTCTTAACTTTACTTTTTTATCTCCTTCTTATGGTCGAAAGGAGAATAATCTTTGCTATGAAAATAATACGTATAATTATCGTCAACTGGTGTAGACGGTAAAAGCTATTTTTTACTGGCATTCTCCATCTCTAAAATGGTATTTTAAGGAATTGATGGCGTCTAAACTCTATGAGTTAGTCTAATGATTCACAAAGCACGTGTATCATCCACTTCTCCATTTCATTCATTTATTAAACCACAATTTCCTGGGTACATTCCATGTTGTTGATAAAATCTTCTTAGATCTAAGCTCATTTCTCATGAAAATAGCTTCTTCTAGTTTGTGGCATGATCCATGGTTATCATATGTTGAAGGATGTTGGATATTGTAGTATAAATGATCTTACACAACATGGGTAAAGGCTTCTTTTAATAGATGAGTACAAATATAGAAAGACCCCTTTAGGAATGGTTAAGAAAATCGGAGAGTTTGTTATAAATTTCTCTAATTGAGGGACTCAGATAGAAAAAAATACACCCTGCCTTAAGGATGGGCTCACTTATTTATAGGTTTGGGTCGCTTTCACCTAAGACTTGATACATATGTGGCTAAATTGAAAAAGAAAAATACATCATAGTAATATTATTATATACATTTATGTGTCGTGCATCATACATGATAAAGTTGTCAGGCTATTAAATGAGTTGATACACTCAGACTTGGCAACTTAACTTGTCGAGTTATTTTATTGATATGCTTGGGTGAATTGACTAACACGTTGGCTAAGCTAATATTTGATGTTATATATAATTAAATCAGTGGAGTTTGTCTTATTGAGATGGTCAGATTCGGCTGTTGACATGTGCTTTCCCAAAATATATATCGAATGTTCTAATCATATCACATGTCTGATACTATCATATACTTTGAACTTGGACTCAAGGCTTTCATAACTATACAACTAGGTTAATTAAAAATAAATTTCATATTTAATTTTGATCATAATTAGGTTCTCATTATAATAAATCAACTAATGTTTATATAATAATTTGAGTCATTTACATACATCTCATACAATTCTTATATACATTTTTATATTTAAAAACTTAATGCTCAAATCTTTAATATCATATCAAAAATAACACAATTAGTATTTTTTTTAAAATAAAATACACCTTCTAATTAATAGGCTAACACACAGGTTTAAAACAACAAAGTACTATGTATTTAAATATGAAAATTTATATGTGAGATACTTAAATACAAAAAAAAAGAAATTGTGTACTACGTAAATTTTCCTAATAAATTTTAGCTAGTTTTATATATCTACCACTAAATTCTTATGTATTAATGTATGAACCACTTTAACTTCAATTACTATATACATATATCATTCATCCTATGACTAAAATATAAGAATTAAAGTAGTTACTAAATATTGAAATTTCATGGGTTTATATGTTAATAAATAGGAATTAGGTGGTAGGTAAGTATAGGCCCCTAAAATTAATATTTTTTTTAATTATGGTGAGCCTCCCACGTGTAAAGTCAAACATACTCGTGTATTCAATTTTTTTATTTTATTAAGTCGGGTCTGACCACGTGTAAAGTCAAATACACTCGTATATTCAATTTATTTTTTTTATTAAGTTGGACATGAACACGTGACAGATATTGATTGAAGTATTCTAATAAAAATAAAATTGATGTAATAATTTTTTTTTTTTGAGTGTAGACACCTAAAATTTAGGTCCCGTTATTTGGTGGCATATTGTATGAACAAGTTTCAAAACCCTAACCGCGCGATTAGCACAGCCTTCGCTGATAAAACCCAGCAGCCCCATTAATTAATCGGCCAACCTTCTTTGATCGCTGTCAGCCTTGGAATTGCGCCTACGGCATTCTCAAGGACCGCTTTGATGCTCCGGAAGCCTTCTTGTCTTTCGCTTCTTCACCTCGATTCCTTTCTCATCTGAGTACCCTTTTCATCCCCCTTCTCTGCTCTGTCTTCAGAAATCTATGGCTCTTTCCTGCTCCAGATGCCAGTCTTCTTACCGCTTCAGCGGTCTTCGGACTCAGCGAATATCAACTTCTTCGGCCCCTTCATTTCTGTTTTCCCTTCCTAAGCGGGAATTGGCGAAAAGGATCTCTTCACGAAGAGATAAAAATCGAAACTTGGGACCTATCTGCATACAAGAAGGTTGTTTCTCCTTATTTCTGTGTCTATAAATTATTGTGTGGATCTATGATGTCCAATTGTTTTGTGTTTTAATTTGGGTTTCTGCTTGCCATCCATTTTAATTTGTTTAATGAACTGTTGAATTTAGATTTATTGGCAGCTGCAACTCCGGTGGCTACTAGTAAAGAGGCTGCTTTAATGAATGTTGAGAATGGCGGATTACCTTCTGTATGTTCAGATGAGTCTAGAATTAAAGCAGTTAATAGTACCAGCAGGAAGGATTTCACGGTTAGTATCACAGTGGTTGGGGCCTCTGGTGATCTAGCGAGGAAGAAAATTTTTCCTGCATTGTTTGCTCTCTTCTACGAGGATTGCCTGCCGGAGGTAATTTTGATGTTTGGGAAAGCTCCAGTTTGAATTTATGTTATTTCCATGATGTTTGTTTCTTCAAAGATTGAAGTTTTATGCTGCTTGTGCCAATATGCATGCACAGCATTTTACAATTTTTGGATATGCTAGGAGTAAGATGGCTGATGCTGAGTTAAGAACGATGGTCAGCAAGACCCTCACATGCCGCATTGATAAGAGGTGATTATATCCTCAACTCTTTTTCTGATGCAATTATTTAAAGGTTTTATTGAAGTAATTTTGTTACTGCTGTTATGAATATTGAGGTTTTGTTCGGTTTTTCTGGTTTTAAGCGAAAATTGCAGTGATAAAATGGAGCAATTCCTTCAAAGATGCTTCTACTATTCGGGTCAGTATGACTCTGAGGGAGATTTTGCAGAGTTAGGCAATAAGCTGAGGGAGCATGAGGTAATTTGTTAATAACATAAAATGTTAGCTTCCTTTGCTTCTTTTTTTTTAAGGGTAGGTGTCATTGCTTTTAGACTGTTAGATGCATCAAATTAGAGCCGTAGAGCTATTGTCATAAGGAATTATATTTGTTGTTTGCTGCATTCTAGTAATTAGTCCCTAAGTTTGTATAGCACTTTTCAGATTAGTTATTTCAAGATTTATTAGTACTAATACTCCATGTTTAGAGCTTTCTAATAATCCAGATATTGTTTTTTGTTATTCGTGTTCTTGAAAGAATTAGTTACTGTTCCCAAGCGTGAATGTCAATTACTATTGCTTCATGTCAGCTTTGCAGTTAGTGCTATAATTAATGATGAAAAATTGAACAATGAGCCAACTCACTTGGCGATTTTAGTTGCTATCTATGATTCTATAAGATGGTGATTTCTTTTTTTTTTTTTTGTATCTTTTAGTTTTTTATTTTATTGCTATCTATGATTCTATAAGATGGTGATTTCTTTTTTTTTTTTTGTATCTTTTAGTTTTTTATTTTATTTATTTTATTCTATATTGTTTTTCTTATTTAATTGTTATGTAACATATGAGTCAATCGATTATAAAGACCAATTAAATCTCCCTTGCACCCTACTCTTTGCACACCACTTGCAGCTTGGGGTTGCAATAAAAAAAAGAATTTTTGAATATTCAGAAATTTTCTGGTAATTATTTTTACTTTCTTTGATATCAAATATTTGAAAGTCGTAGTTTTGATTTGTGTGGGGAATGTGTGAATCAATTGATATACTTTGCATGTATTTCTTCCATGAACTTCATGATCACGTACAAGGCATGTCAAGTAGTTTGCCAATCTTGATTAGGGTAGTAACTTAATATTGTACCAAACTACACAATATCATAACGGCATAGCATTGCAAAATGAATCCTAAGTCTAATTTGAAAGTACTTATAGAGTTATACTTATCTTTGTGTCATAATACTGATAGACTAAATGCTATTTTCATAACACGAAAAAAATACCAATCATGTTTGCATTATGATTTATTAATTTTGTGTTACTTATCCGCCAAATAATGGTAGCTTTTTAAAACTACTACCCTGGTTACCACTATTTAAAAATGTTTGGGAATACCTTGTTTTCTCTCCCCATATTTACGTCTAAACTTCTTAAATTATATCAGAATGTCATTGAACTTGGTAAGCCATGAACGTAAAGGCGTGATAGTCATATAAAATTTTTCGTACCTGTGGATGAAATGATGACCTAGTTATGTTCAATGATGGAAAACATTTTGTAGACAGGGAAAATGACTTTATTAATCTGCCGGAGCTTTTTAATTGTTGAATCATACATTTCATCTTTATGATTATATAATTTTGACAAATTACTGGCACTAAGCTTGAATTTATCCATTGTTTATGTAGGTTGAAGGTCATTTTTTCTTGGCTAATGCATGGTGCCTCCATGCATTCAATTGTGAACATTGGTTCTTTCTTAGTGCTTTTTTGGGTTCCCTAATGTTGTGCATATTAAGAAAAGACAACTGGACAATTTTGCATATTATGAAACATGCAAGCCATGGATAACTATAAGACCTTGTGAGGATTTAATTAATTAAAATTTTGAATTGCATTGCATTGATTGATTTGACTGGTAGTTTGAATTTTAGTTTATCACCATCAATTCGTTGGTTATACTGCTCATGACACTTGATGATATAATTTTTACACTCAATCCTTTTGGAGTGCGTTATTGCCAGTATTGGTTGAGTGTAATAAAGTCTACATTTTCAAATCTATGTTGGTTGCAGTAGCAAATATATCTAGATTCTAGATTACATTCTATGAACATTTTTATTTTAATCATTCAAAAGAAGTCACAAAAGTCTGGCATTTGTCTAATTCATTTCTGAGCATTCATATAGCCAATGATTAATTTTTTTTAAATAAATAGAAAAAAAAAGAAAAAAAATCCAAACACTCATTACATCAATGTTTTTTCACTGATAGCTTCTCTAGAGAGAGAATCGTAAATGAATTTCTCATTGTTCAAGTTGTATGCAGGCTGGGAGAATCTCAAATCGCTTATTCTATCTGTCTGTCCCTCCAAATATATTCATAGACGTGGTAAAATGTGCCAGTAGGTCAGCTTCTTCATTGAATGGCTGGACAAGGGTGATTGTTGAAAAGCCCTTTGGACGTGACTCCGAATCTTCTGCTGCATTGACAAGAAACCTTAAACTTTATTTGGAGGAAGATCAGATTTTCAGGTAGTATTTGTCACCCAATTTTATGGTAATTTTTTCCTCTTGCAGTTTTGTACGATATGCTCAAATAATGACATTTATTGTTTTTCAGAATTGATCACTACCTAGGAAAAGAACTTGTTGAAAACCTCTCTGTTTTAAGATTTTCGAATTTGGTTTTTGAACCTTTGTGGTCGAGGCAGTACATCCGAAATGTACAGTTGATTTTTTCCGAGGATTTCGGCACCGAAGGCCGAGGAGGGTAGGTGTTATTTACTTTTTAAGTTTAGCAGTTTTTATTACATTTGTGGAAATAATGGAGTTTTACTCAAGTACTCATGCAGATACTTTGACAACTATGGTATAATCAGAGACATAATGCAAAATCATCTCCTCCAAATACTGGCTTTGTTTACCATGGAAACGCCTGTCAGCCTAGATGCAGAGGACATACGAAATGAGAAGGTTCAGGCCTTATACTGCTGTTAATTTAATCATCATCTACATATGCACTGATCTTGTTATTTAATGATTTGTTGGGAAGTTAAGCCCATCTGCTAGCATTTATTATAATTTTTTTATTTATTTTAGGTGAAAGTTCTTCGTTCCATGAGACCACTACAGTTAGATAACGTTGTAATTGGGCAGTACAAAAGCCATAAAAAAGGTGGGGTTACTTATCCGGCCTATACAGATGATAAGACGGTACCAAAGGATAGTCTTACACCAACATTTGCTGCTGCTGCTTTATTTATTGATAATGCGAGATGGGATGGGGTACCCTTTCTTATGAAAGCGGGCAAGGCATTGCATACAAAACGGTATCTTCATTGGGATTTACATATATACCGTAAAATTTTATGCATTTACATATCAACACTTAAAAAAATTTTATATTTATTTATATAACATTTTAGAGTTAACATATGCATGGCACGATATAGTTATCAATGTTTAGGTGTCTGATATGTGGATACATAAGAATTGTGTTTTCATCTGTTGTTAATACTGTATATGATGTTGGTTGGTGTTTTAAATATGCAGAGCAGAGATAAGAGTACAATTCAGGCATGTTCCTGGAAATTTATACAAGAGGAGTTTTGGTACAGATCTTGATCGAGCTACAAATGAACTTGTTATTCGTGTGCAGCCTGATGAAGCCATTTACTTGAAAATCAATAACAAACTCCCTGGTTTGGGAATGAGATTAGATCGTAGTAACTTGAATCTACACTATGCAGCAAGGTAAAAGAAAATTTCAGTTCAGTTCCTCAATTTTTAATTTAAATCATATCACGGAAAAATCTATTGTTAACCAGTAGATGCTATACTTGATTTTCATAAAGAACTTCAACATGGACGGAAAAATCTATTGTTAACCAGTATTAATGGTATCCAAGCCTTTCCAAACTTAAAAAACATTGGCATCATCCATTGATATCCCACTATTTTCCTACAATTGCCCAGCAGTTTCAGCGACCTTGCATCTCTGCATTCTCAATTTGTTCTCATGCCCATTACATTATTTCTCTTGAATCTAATGTTTCCCAAGGCTAATTTTGAACCAAATGACACCATAGATAGTCGTGAGATTGCAATATATATTTGTTCATGCTACCCAATAATAGCTTCTGCTGAGACCGGAATCCAATAAGAAATAGCAAAGAAATAGGATAGGTTGTTTTCAAATGGTGGTTTTGCAGCTAAAAATCACCATTGACAAATGCTTTCGATGTAAAATGTTTATAATTTTTTTGCTGTGCATGTGATCGGCAATTAAAATAACATACAAGGATACATAGCCACCATGTGCATTTTGAGTATCAAAGTCCAAATTTGGTTTGGTTCTTCAACTTTTCCGTGAGGGTACATTTTAGTTCATTAGTGACATAGTATCTAAAAACTTGTGGTTGATTAGCTCAATGAGTCAACTTTATCGATAAGGGTTCGTGGCCTAGTAGTTAGAAGAGAGTTGTTTCTCTAAGATCAAGAGCTCAAGTCACATTAATTGCTCACTATTTCCCAAAAAAAATAAGTTTTTTTCTTAATATTCTTTTTATCTTACAATTAAATGTATGACCTTAAAATTTGTAACATAAGAATTCTTATTTTGCTTCTATAACAAAAGTCAATGCCTTAAAATGATTATTTTTGGATCATCCAGGAACATTTGTTTTACTTTTAGGGGAGCATCAAAGCGAAACAAAAAGAAAAACAAAAAGCATTCAAGAAAGAAACCAAATTGACCATAAATTAGATTTCGTGGGAAGATGAGGAAGGTAGGTTTAAGGCATCCTTTTGAGATGCCAATGCCTTGGCAATGCAGGCATTAAGATGAAGTGACACATGGGCACCTTAGACCTTTTAGGCAACTCATTTTAAAAACTTTACTAGGTTGGAATATCTAAATAGTGTCTTTGGCAACAAATGTCTCATAAAAGTATAGTTCTAATATAAGGTAATTTGATAACTTTATTGATTTATATATTTTTTTACTTGAAGAAAAAATAATGATATGTAATTAATTGATTCGTTTGGACCTGTTAAGAATAAAATAAATAAAGAATTTTTACATACATAGCACCTAAAACATCCATATTTACATGTCACTCAATTTTTTTTCATTTGCATATTTAGCATGCAAATGCAGTTAAAAGGCTAAATTTAACCCTTCGTTTCTCTACGTCATATTTGGCACTAAAGAACTCAGTGGCCAAACAGGTCCAGGAAAGTAGACGGAAAGAAAACGAGCGACATGCAAAAAATCTGTTATATTTGTGTGCTGAATATGATGAGCAGAGCGAGGCACGAAACTTTGTTTATTTTCACTTTGTCGAGTTGGGAGATGGCGTGCGTCGAAGGGACTTTTGCCTCGCTCCCCTCATCTTCTTCCTCGCAACAATTTCAGATTCCCGACGTTTTGCTCTTTCTCACATGGTGGTTGCTTTATATAGATTAAATATAGTATTCTTTTTCTCTATTTTAATTAATATCTTATCATCTTCTTTTTCTTCTCTTTCTTAGTCACTTCTCCTATGAATGATTGCATCCCATGCCGCTTTCCCAAGAAAAATCAGATGTGTTCGGTGGATGTTTGCCTTCATATTTATCGTAAGTAGAGCCCTCCATCCTTTAAATTTTCAGGGCTCGAGTTTGTTGCCTCTTCATTTTCTCCTTGGGCTTCCATAGCGCAAGCTTCTTTTTTATCTTCAAAGTTTCTTAGGTTTAGGTTTTTATGCTTTCCAATTTATACCCATTACTCTCAATCTCTATTTTAGATGCCATAGTCGTGCAATTTTTGCTGGTGATGGAAATTCAAATTTATTCTCTAGGGATTTTTTTTTTTTACTTTTTTCCTACTTTTTGTTGATGGGAATTGCCGAGCCTGGGGAAGATAAACAAGTGTTGCTCGATCTCCTTGGGGAGATGCTACATGGCCACTCGTTGAACTGGAGAGAAGAAACATTTGTGTGTAGAAATTGGAGAGGAGTGATCTGCAGTCAATTTCTTTCTTGCATGGATCTAGCTTAGGCTTCAATGGTTAAATACCTTTGAATACTGTCCACGTAGTCACCGGGCTCCTCATTTTGAGTCTTCATGCCAGTGGCAGATTTCTTCATTTTTAACGCTCCAAGAGGGCTACACCTTCATCTCAATGAATTCTCCGGCTCTCTTTGATCTAAATTTTTTTATCTCAGAAGAATCTCAGGATGTTGGATCTCTTTTATAGTAATTTCAATGGGAGCATTCCCCTTCCATCTCCAATCTTACTTAACTGGCCGCTTTAAATCTCTCCTAGAACTCTTTATTGCGAAACACAAAAATTTCTTTAAGAAATTGGAACGAAAGAAAGTGAGAGTTTGGGCATGGGGTTTTTTAGTGACAAATATGTAGAGAAATGATGGGTTAAATTCAGGCTATTAGCTTTAGATTTGGTGCTAAATGTATAAGTAAAAAGATTTAGTGCGACGTGTGATTAGGAATAGTTTAAAGCTACGTATCTAAAATCCAATTATTAAACCAAACCAAGTCATGCTCAAAATCAAACTGACCAAATAAGATATACAACTAAACCAAATTGAACTAACCAAATTGAATCGAAATATAATTTGATTTATTCAGTTCGATTGTGATTTAACAAAATTTTGAAATCCTAATGAGATGTATGCATTTGATCAGTTCGGATCAACTGAATTCATATTACTATAATATAATTCATAGTTTGGATTTAACTTTTTATCCAACCCGATCAAATAACCAAACTTTAAATGCCCTTAGTTTAGAATAAAAAAAATCAAACTGTAATTTCATAAAGTGAACCAAATTAATCAAATATGTTTGGCTCTTTGTTTTTTGGTTCAAACCAATTAATGAGCTCCCCTAAGAAAAGATATAAATTTAAATTTTATGAAATTGTTAGATAAAATTTTAATGAAGTTTTTTTTTTTCTTGAAGTAAAATTGAGTTAGCTTTGATGAAATAATTGAGCTAGCTTTGAATAAGGTAAAATCTGTGTGATGTTTATTGAGGTTTGGAGATATTTAGTTTATTTGGAGTAGTTTAATTAACCCTTTTAATAAAATCCTATAAACTTAAAAATGTTAAATGAATGTATAAATAACTAAAGTCGCTTATAAAAGAAATTTTGAATAAAGTAACTTGGTGAATAGTAATTGTAAATGGCATAATTTTAATAGCTCTTTTTTTCTTAGAATGGTGAGAAGTGAATTAATTTGTGAAACTTATTAAAAATTTACGACTTAGAATTAGTTGGATAAAGATTAGGATTATCATATTCAATTTAATGGATTTGAAGTTATAAGTTATGAATCAAATAATGGAAGATCGAGTATTATGCGGGTGTTTTATAGATTTAAATATCTTAATTCTATTATGTAAAAGAATAATGATATAGATGGTGATGTAACTTTTGAGTTGAAGTTTGATGGTTAAAAGAGTTAACAATATAGTTCTTATGGCGCCTATAGATTATTATGCAATAAGAGAGTGATAGGGAACTTAAAAGTTAATTTTATTAAAATGCACTAAGATCAACCGTGTTAAATGGTCAAATTGTTGGGGAAATAAAAAAAGTTATGTATGGTATAGTTAATAGAAAGGTAAGCATTTAGATAAACTAGATAAATAAAGTTGGGATATGATCTTATGTTGAAGAGAAAATGAGAGTTACACCTATTTAAGTGAAGTTAATTAAAAATAGACATGACTTGTGTAAGCTTAAATTAACACCCTATATGAATGATTAAGGGTCATTCATAAGGTTGGTCCTAAATAGCTGGATAATGGTAATGATTGTTTTTTTATTTATGTGTTATAATATCCTTAATGTTTTTAATCATCATATTTCTATTTCAAGAACTTCATCGTTGTTCATTTATGTTAGTTTTCTTCTTTTATCTAGTCATCATATTGATACGAAACATAATAGTTTTTCACATAAATTAGAACAAAAAAATATTTTATTTCAACTGCACCAAGCAACACAACTCAAATACATAAAAATAAGCACCTATAATTTGAGATGGGGGTGATCTCTCCCAAACCCTAACACCTACGATTCGAGAGGTAGGCGATTTCTCCCATAAATTGTAACTCTAAGACTCAGGATAACAATCTCATCTTAAGCCGAAACATATTAACCCTATTTGTACCCCACAATAATAACTTACAAATGACTAAATTGTCTTTTCATTCTTGCGCCTAAAATAAGTCTTCTAGTTATTTGCAGGCTCGGCGTTGATGTAATATTACAACCATCCCAAAAATACATCGTCTCAAGGTGAAAAAAAATTGTTGTTGGAACAAATTGTTTAGCTCCTCATAAACTTACTTGAGTTTAGCTCTCGTCGTCAGTACTTAATTGAAATAAGTGATAAATCGTTGATATTGATGAGGACTGTGTCTAATCCATAGCCTAAAGCATCCATCTCATAATAAAAGGTTGGTTGAAATAAGGTAACACTAGCATCAGTACACTCATCATGACATTCTTTAACTTCTTGAAAGCCTGGGTCATCGCTTTCCACCACTAAAAGTTTTCTTTCTTCAAATTCTCTGTCAATTTCCACACAATCGAATTACAACCTTACACGAACTTCCGATGATATAATGTAAGTTCTAGAAATCTTCTCAATCCCTTTAAGGTCTTTGATGATAGCCACTTCGACATAGCCATGCACAAACTAAGGTAACTGCGAAACTATACCATCTTGTTTCCCTCCTGA